TGGCCTTTCCGGTGGCACCAATGGCAAGTGGACAAGTGAGAATGGCAGGATCCATGCCTTCCAGAGGAGGAAAGCGCCGCTCTGGGTAAGCCATGTCTTTTTTTTTCAAGCCTCAAATGACTGGTATTGGAAAACTGAGAATGTACCTGTGGGTGTACGTTTATTATGTAATGTTTATTATGTTATGTAAACTACATCATGGCATTAAGTCACTGATGTTTTGGTTTTCTCTTCAATGTATCTGCCCTTCCTGCAAGATCAAATTTGCTGATAAGCGTATTGTTTGTGGTTTTGCAAGCTTCAGAAGACTTTTGGGTTTGGCAAAGCATCCAGAAATGGAGTTTGGATCCCATGGCTGTTGTACATGTAATGAATGCATATTGCCTACATCTGTGTAATCTCAAAGGGATTTGTCACGTGAATAAAGGTAGTGAGATGTGTTCTTACTTGCACGTGCAGACTTATCCAACTTTATCTGAAGTTTGGACCTGGAATCTCTCAAATAGAGGCCTTCTGTTAAAAATGTTTTCTTTATAGTCCGAGGTACAGAAATAGCAGAAGCAGTCACTCTTCAGAGATTTTGGTCTATGATATTCTAGGTCTCGCTGGAAGTGCTGCGTAGTCTGCTTCTGGGAGAAAGGGCCTGAATCGGGTTCACCCCTTGCACTAGCTTGAGGGCTCTGCTAAAGAAGGAAATTTGATTTATCCAACTGCAGAGGTTGGTGTGGCGTAGGGATAGTTTTTCCACATCAGATTGCTCTGCGGCGACTCATACTAATCCTCTATGTTAGAAGAAAAGTGTAGCAAGAGTTGCAGAAGGGCAGAAAACTACTCTCTAGTGTTAACAAAACCCCCTTTTTTTTATCAAAGGTTGGTCCCAAATAACAGTCTTTAGGTGATGCTACCTGAGCTGAGAGTGCCTGCAAAAGAGATTAGTCTTGTATTTAGCCCTAAATATGATGATGGTAGGGCTTAACAGAATTGATAATGGGAGTAAAATCTTCACTGACGGGCACGCCAGGAGAAGACATTATTCCTTGTGAGAGCTGCTCTAGGGATTGTTTTCCAAGGTACCTTGCCAGTTTTAGGTGTCTGCTCAACTAACAGCGCTGGAGTTTCAATTCTGGAATGAATGAACATGGGAGAAGATGGACCTCGCCTTCGACGCGGAGCTAAGCTGGTGTGACCTGAACACTCCGGGTGGTTGTTCCAAGGGAATTCCTTCAGAGAGGATGATTTGGAGCTTTACCCCCCCTGAGTGTGCTTCATATACAGAGCTAACTGTATGAAACTCATGAAACCTGCCTTTGACAGGCATAACACTTTTATTTTTAAACTGTACAATGAAAAAGCCTTCTCAAACTTGCCCTCAAAAGAGAAAACAAAGCATTAACATATTTCCATTGCTACATCACGTATATAAGCTTTTGTACTTTTGAGCTGCAGGATAGTTGATCTCTTTTTTGATCGTAAAACATGTCAAGTGCAAATACCAGTTTGCAAATTACTGTTACCAAGGGTTGATGCTGCTGACGGCGAAATCTTGTGATTATATTGAATACTGACTTGATATTAATTGAAAACTAGGCTTTAACCATTGCATTTTAAGTATCATCATCTATTTGCGAGTAAGTGGAGTGGTGGGAAGGTGGGAGGAACATAAAATGGAATGATTTAAAAGGTATTTAGCACACAAATTCAGTGAGTAAGTTAATATAGATTTGCTGTTATACCCAGACAGTGGCATTTTGTCTGTGCACCATAGCTCTGAACTAACAGCCCTTCTCCAAGCCTGAGCTGAGGGTGCATTTTTTTTTTTTTTTTTTTTATTTCTGTCTATTTTTTTTTTTTTTTTTTTTTAATTCAGTCTGTCTGTCTTCAGACCTCGAGGGAAAGAATGCCTGCTGTGTCTAACTCCTCCTAGCTTCTCTTTCAACAAACTTGCAACTCACACTTGGTCCTTTCATTACTGTCCTAGTGATACATCTTTGTACACCTAAATCCTTGGGCATTTTAGAAATTAATGCCTTGTGTCAAACATAAAGGAATGTAGCTAGTGAACACAGTCATCTTTTCCAGCTTCGGTTATCTCTGAAAATTGTTTTTTTTCTTGTAATTGCTGAGGCAAGCTGGCAGAATAATTGCTGTATGGACTTGAATGTAGATCAGTGTAAACTCATTGGCTATCCAGAAGGTGTTTCTGCCGCGTAGGCATTCAGCTTCGTTGACAGCTTGGAAAAATATGTTCCTTTCTATAAATTATACCAAGTGCTTTATAGAAAAAAGTGACAGCATAAGATAATGCACTGCAGTGGTCAATGACTACCTTAGACTAATGTAGTGTCAGTTCTTTATTTAACGTGGTTTTTCTTTAGGCTTTGCTGTGTTAGAGGATACGGGGCTTTTTCACCTTCCTATGTTATCTGTACTTGGGGAGGGAGGGTTGGTGGGGGATTTTTTATTGGTTGGTTTGCAGTCACATTGGTTTTGTTTCAGCTCAGCATATAGTCTCGAACTAGAACTGTAGTCTTGAAATAGAACTCTGAGATCTGGGGAGATACAGAGAGGAACAGACCTCAGCCCACCAGCCCCCCTCCCCAGTCGTACCCCCTGTCACTGTACTGAGCAAAAGACCATAGTACAGATCCACATCTGCCTCTCAGCTGCATCTGCTCCTGAGCATTCCTGACTGCCCTCTTCCTATGCTGTACAATCATGGCAAGTTGTCTTTTTAAATTTTGTAGGAATTTTACATAGTAGTTTTGTTGCAGTGGTCAAGTCCTCTCCTATCTCAAAGTTTTAACCTGTGCAGGACCACCTGGTTGGATCGTTTTTTTGTTTGTTTGAAAAGGTTTCTAATTAAAAATAAATAATGTTTAAAAATATTTTTGTCATGGTATTTATGGTACCCACACATCTTTTGAGGAAAATATATTTTAATAAGTACCTTGTACATCAGGCCTTTTCATGATTGACGTGAACAGTATGAAAGAGGAAAACAAGATTTATGCCGTCTCTTCAAAACAGAAAAGCATAGTGCAGCTCTTTTTAAAAGTCTCTTTTTAATGGGAATTTCAAATGAAGATAAAAGATACTCTTTCTGAAACTTCTGAAATTATGTCATTTGTCTTCTTGGAGGCTGCTTCTGTTTTGCTAATGTGCAATATATTCTATCAGAACAGAAGATCTTATCTGTCAGGGTATGAGGAGTTTGTTGGAATATAATTTTTATGTGTTCTGCTAAAGGTTACAGCTGATTCCTTGTCTTTCACTCTGCCTTGCTGCAAAGCAGACACGGTGGTTCACGCAGGATGTTGGAGTCAATGACTTTATACCTGAGATTTTTTTTCAGATTTTGGAAGGTTTTTTTCATTTTGCACAGTGAAATGAGAAATCAGGAAACGTGTTTATTAACAAAGATGGGACAAAGATACATTTGCTGTTGCGTTTTTACAAGTATTGACATTTTTAATAAACTTTTGGTTCAATTTTGTTTTTAATCTTGCATTTGGAATAAAGTCAAGATTTTTAGGTAGCTTAACAAAGCAAAGGCATTACTGAAAGATTTAGTGTGCTGCAGACTGGTATTGCACCCGAGGCACTCAGATTCTGCTGTGATGAGCCCACTGTAAATGTGGTAGGTGTTAGCTATGGGTATTAACCCATCAGGATCTTGTATGATGAGAAGCTGATGGCCAGCCATCTAGATCAATGTGTGTGTTGGTCCCACTTACTCCTTTGGACGCAGGTATGCAGTGTGGGCAGCAGGATCAAGCCTTAAACAGTCATCAGATTCTCTGTAATTCTCTGCACGATATTCCAGTAATGATAAACTAGACTAAATGCAGTAGAACCAGTGTTTCATTTGGGGGGGAAAATTCCTTCCCGGCCCTCAGCTGGAGCGTTTGGCTGGAAGCTAAGAAAATCTACCAAGCTACAGGATCTCAGTGTATTGGAGGGGAAGGAAAGGAGTTACAAAATTAACCCATTGCAAATGAAAGCAGTGTCTTACTAAATCCCTGAAGAAAAGGCTTTTCCCATTAGGCATATATATTTTCTGCAGCCCTTTTCCCCTGAGTTTGAAACAGGAGGTTTCTCTCAGTTGTGGTCCAGTTGCCAGTGAAACCAGTGAAGGATGTGCCTGAGGTGATGGTTCTGTGAGTGGTTTCAGGTGGAACCAGCCCAGTGCTGGCCCGAGTGTGCCCTTTGCTCGTGACCTAGCAGCTCTCCAGTAACGTTGACTTGCGCGTTTTTGGTGTAGGCAGAAATGCTGTGATTGAAATAGCTTGGAAGTTTATTCTGGAATGTCACCTACAGGCACCTTATGGTGTGTGGGGAAGGAGCAGGTAGGTAAGAGGACACCTTCAGCTAGATGAGAACGCTGAAGTGTGAACTTGGTGGGAGTGCAGTGTATGCCGCAGGGCCGGGGGCACTCGGGCTGCAGGTCCCATGGCACGAGCGAGGGTGCTGGGTGCTGGAGGTCGGTGGTGGTCTGCGCGTGGCGGCTTTGAGACCGGATTGGGTGATGATTAGGTGAGCAAAACCGTAATTTATAGTGAAAATGATGATTGCATCAAACTTAACCAAATTAAATACACATCTTTTCTTAAAACTCTGGGGAAAATGGTTTTCCCTCTGCTTCTTCCAGAAATGAATAATCACTCTTAACATCTGGAAAATATTATTGTGGTTTTTGTAATACCATTTCCAGTTCCTGTGCTTATTTGCTGCCCTTGTCCTGAGTGTACATCGATTGCTGTGACTCAGACACATCTTTTATAGACCATTCTGTCTTGGCTATCAAAGTTAGGAAGGAAGGCAGTGTTACCTGACTGGCACTCACGCTTCTCTATGCTGATGTAGTTTTAAAGAGCATTTTTACATCATGCTTCCACGCTCTGAACATGCAGATCTTAATTTTTAATTGGGGTGCGTGTGTTAATACTTAGATAAATATTATTGTCACTTTAGAGGGTTTTTGCCTTTAATATGACTTACGTCTGTGGTTAATATGAAGAGTGTTAGAGACATGGAATCTGTAATTGTATAATATTTTGTTACACTGGAATGTTAGTAAGCTTGAAGTGTTAAAGAAACCTGACAGAATTGTTTTCAATGCAAAACTATCTACACAAATTATATTTGAGTGACTGATCAAAGTCTGTATATCATACTAATGTTTTTTTCTTATTAAAATAAATACACTAGTACAATAATTGTGTATGGTAATTTTATATCAGCTTGGTTCCTATTCTGCCTTAGTGGCAGAGTCACCCCTTTATGATTGGGATACATATTTGTCCACCTCTTTTTAAAGGTAGAAAGATCTATAAAATGCTTTGGAAGTTATACTGTTGCATAACTTTGTAGTGACTTAATATCAATGGAAAGGAGGCAATCACACTGCCTAACATAGGAAACTAATTTAGGTGGCTTATTTGGGAAGTTAATCTTCCTAGTCTCTCTGTGTAAAAAGTGAAGAGGTTCCTGCTTTTTGTGGCTCCCTGGAGGAGCCCAACCGGAGGGCTGGGATTTGGCCCAGGGAAGAGCTCGTCTCTTCTGCTGACTTAACAAGAAGGTCTGGGACATAAAACCAGGTAAGTTGGGTGCACGGTAGACCCATAGGTCATTTTAGTAGTGGCCACAGGAGTTGCACAAAGTAGTTGCCATCTGCAGACTGGTTGGTAATTTGTGTGAAATGATTGGTAATATAGGGCAAGTCTAATGAACATATCACGGTTACAGTCCGTAGCAGTGATGTAGCTAATCCTCTGAGCAGGGTGGCTGGGAGTTTATTCTGCTCTACCTCTAACGTCCTTTCTTTAGATTGGGGCAAAAATAGTGGCCTAGTGTTTATTATGTGTACAGCTTTAGAACTTTCTTTTCTTTAGCCTTAATTTCGGTCCTCTAACATATCGAGTCCCACTGATTCCTGTAAACTTCTGTCAGGCCTTAGAGATACTACTTCTGACCATCTCACAAGAACAGCATTTGTTTAATGTTTCCTTTTATTTGTTAATTTTAACAGTGCAGATTTCTGTGGAGCAGAACAGTGATTTATTTCTTAATTTTTTTTTTTAAAGCTTATATTCCTTGTATTCCTGGGACCTGATGAGCTACTTTTAGGGGGTCTGGAGAATATGAGCAAAACTGGAATCTACAGTCGTTAACACCTCCAGTCAAAATATAAATCAAACAAGGTTGAGAACCAGTGGCTTGAATGTTCATGTCACCATTGCCAGCGTCATGATTACTGATTTGGAAATCTTGCTTTTACAGAATGGACTTCGATGATGAAGATGGGGAGGGGCCCAGCAAATTTTCAAGGTGAGCATTTACAAAGGGTTGGCCAGATCGCTGACTTCTTTCAGTGGAGAAAGACAGCTGTCTCGCTACTGGTGTTTTAAAGTCAATATGAATATGGGATGAAGAACTTGCCAACAATTTGACCTAAATTTTAGTTACTGTTTTTATTGACTTCCTCTGCAAATTAGGCATCATCCTCACAGAAATCTGCCTAATATGGTTATTGGCTTACAAAGCTGACTGTGTGTGTGTCATAATTTTGCTCTGCAGCTATGTCAAATGAGAAAATTTGTGATTTTTAGCTTATTATTTCAACTGCTGTAGATGAACTTTGGCTATTTGACATTGCTAAAGTTGTCTTTCTGCCACTGAAAATTTATTTTGAATTTATTTCGGCTGTTAACTGCTTGTTAAGACAATATGACAGATCCTAGAGGTGTGGATTGTTTTTTCTAAGATTAAAGCTCATTGTGTACTATCAGGTGTGACTGAATAGTAAAAATTGCCAAAATGTTAATTAACATGGAATATTCTAGACTACAAATGAAAACGGACATTAAACCATCATTGCCATTTTTTCACTTTTTATTTGGTCACACTGTTTGCATTTTTTCATTAGAAACCAAGCAGCGGCAGGGAGGTGTAGATCCTTGGAGGCCTACAGATAACTTCTGATGATCCATATTGTAACTGCAGCCCTGTAGCAGCAGCCATGCTCACACACAGCTGCCACTGTGGGGTTTTAACAAGATCTTCGTAGTCAGTCTGAAAGCGGAGTGTGCTGAAGATGTGCTGTAACACCGTATCATAGGCTGCTGGACAAGACCAGTAGCACCCCTCGTTAGCTGATGTCGTTTACAGGAAGAATATTCCAGTCTCTGGTGTTAAAACTGGTGATCTGAGGGCTAGACCTCATGTTTGCTAGAAGATACCTGTTAAGGGAACAACATTTGTGACGGATGTGACCTGATTTGTGCCTGCGTAAGCGTCGGGGTTTTCTAGGCACAGTGGTGCATCTGCATTGGTCCGTCTCCATCCTGGCTTCAGTCCTCTAACATAGAGTCGCCACTGATTTCTGTAAACTTCTATCAGGCCTAAGAGATACTACTTCTGACCATCTCACAAGAACAGCATTTGCTTAATATTTCCTTTTATTTGTTAATGGTAACTTTCAAAGAACTTTCAAAAAACTTTTGAAGTTCGATGGTGAGGAAAGCCAATAGTTCCATTATTTTTATTGGAGAGGTGTGCCGTGCTTAGACTCAGTTGATTTTAGATGTCAGATCAAAATCTGATATTTGAATCTTAAATGCTGTGAAAACTCCAGATTGTTCTGCTTTTAGAGAGTACAGAAAAATGGTGCAGAGATGCTCAGGGCCATGCTCAGACATCCTCTTCTAGTTGTGCCGTCCTTTTAACATTTTTCCTATCTCTAAATTGCTCATGTGACTGATTGTCTTGGTTAGTGAGGAGCTACTGTTTAAATGTTTAAGCTAACCCAGCTGTTTTTGACTGAAGTGCCTGAAGAAGCATGCAGGCAGAGAGGTCGGCTGGGAGACTGCAAGGGAGAAACCAGTAGTTGGAGGCAGTAACATCTTCAGCCCAGCCAACCAGACAGGGATCAGTAGACAAGCCCCAGGCTAGCGGGAGCACAGGAGATAGCGGTGTTATTACGGTACTCCGCATGAGATAACACGCCTTGCTTCTCAGGGACTTCCAAGCCAGCTCAGGTATCTCTGCATGGCATCTCATCATCACGTGGAGGTGTATGCATGTACTTCTCGCATAATGGCATGTTGCCATTCCTCACTGAATCTGTCTTTTTGCTTAAAACGTTTTGGGTTCAGTCTGTTCTCTGGGCAGAGTCAAGTGGAAGAAAGTGGCATTTTCACTTGAATGTTGTGAGGGTGCTGGTGTTAAACACAGCGTAGAAAGAAATACAGCTCAAGTCTCACTTAAGCTTTCTCTTCAGAGTTGGAATAAGTCTTACTGGGGAAGGAAAATATGAAGCCTTACAGAGGAACTTACGTGGTTGGGATACTTAGAATTAGTTTTAATTTCTTTGCGAAAAAAAAAGAAAAAGTTAATTATTAGTTTTTTTTTAATAAAATAGATCCTGAATTATGCTGTATTACCTTTTTAGCTAATAGGTGGAAGCTTTGTAGCTTCACAGGCTCTGTTGTAATACAGAACACCATTTTGGAAAAGCTAATTCTAGTACAAAGTATCACTTGGCTCATCTTGAGCAGTAATAATATTCCATTCTAGAAAAGCCATTAGCCTTATTTTTGTATTTTGGAAAACCTACATTTCTCTTTTGAAACAAGCATTTTGGTTTCTCCAAAGTAAGATCTTTCTCAAAAAATGTTTCTTTTTGTAACTATTTTAGCAAAATCTAATTCTAGAGGAGTAGTACGTTGTTAGGAAAGGGAAAGGAGGAGCAGCATGTCACCTTTTAGTAAAATGTCATGTTTCTGCCTGTCTCTGGGACAACAGTTCAGAAACAGTGAAGCTTTAATCCTGTGGGGCAAAACTCCCATTGATCAGGATTTCCTCCATGAAGTTGCTGCCAATACACGGTGCGTACCTGTGTGGGCATCTAACTTCTGTTGATTTGAGTAGGAATGAGGTACCTGTTTACTTCTAGGGATTTAAGCCAGTTTTAATTTCACTTCTGTTTGCCCAGCAGTTTCATCTGCCTGACTGACTTTTGCCAGTCTTCCCAACAGACGGTACAGTGTCTGTACCTGCCGGAGCTTTATTTTGAAGGCGTCCTCATGTAGTGCGTTGCTCTGAAGCATGTGTCTCTGCCCTCCCATGGTATCTGTAGACCATCAGTGCCCTCTGCTGAGTGGAGCGAGTTGTGGTTGCAGTCTGGAAAAGATACAGCTCTTTCACTTCAACGTAGCAGTGAATATTTCATGGGCTCCTGTCGATAAAAGCTTAGTGGTGTTTTCTGTAATGGTGCTGGTTGCTAAGTTTCCCAAGCAATGAGTGTATGTCAAAGTGTTTGCATAAATCCACTGAAATGTGTCTCCAACTTTTTTAAATATACAAATGAAGCTTTTGAATTGGCATGGCTTGGAAGTTTCGTCAGTCTCTACATTTTCTTTGCTTTATCGTTCTCATGCCCTCGTTTTTCTTGCTGTTATTTGTAATAGTTTGCAGTTGTGAACCTCTTTGCTTTCTGCTGTGTGTTGACTATCATGCAGTGCCTGACCCTTGTGAACTTACTATCTTTTGTTTCTAGGTATGATGGTGATCAAATCTCTGGTGATAAGGAAAAGTTTGCAAGGTAGGCGTGTTCTGTAGAGCTCTTCTGCTGAGAGGAAAAGAGGGGGATGATCCTGTCCAGAAAATCTCAGTAGGTGTGCCTTAGTTTAGAGAGCTGGTTATTTTGTTTCTAGGTGGGATAATCAAAGTACTGCTGACACAGAAAGGATGGCCAGGTAGGAAAAAGGAAAATCAAATATGATCTGCCCCCATTTTTATTTTACATGATGCCGTTCTGACTGATCAAAAGTCAGGAGGGTTGGCAGATCCAAAAATGCGTGAAATCAGAAATACTAACCCTGGACCTAAGTGGGTTTGGATCAGCTCCCACAGTCTTCCAAAATTTGATATCCCTCCAAAATTTCCGTATAAAACCAAAGTTAGAAGTGACAGAATTAGGACATAATTCTGTGTACATGTTTATGACTGCCAGGGTTCCTAGGGCAGACACTTTTGGAAGAGGAGCACAGCCCCTCAGTTTTAAGAGTTTAAATTTGAACTAGTTTCAGGACAGTTTCAGGGTTATGTTTGCTTGAACGTTTTCACGGCCAGTTGATGAACATACTGTTACTTTTTAGCTTTTGTGATCATAAATAGATGGGCTGTTGGATTCTTCCCTTTCTTCTCAGGAAGTTCTGCAGTCTTTTTATTTACTCTTTACAATGGTTGTTTTCAATGTTCAAGAGTATTAAAATACTTTAGTGGCAGACAATTTAGTATGTATTTTTAAATGTAAAATATATGTTGAATGTGTGTGTTCTCTCTCTCTCTTTTCTTGATCACCATTTCTGTGAAAATGCTGAACTCAGAACAAGCTTTCATCACGTAAAAATGCATTTTTCTTCCCCTTGTCCATATTTATCTGCATGTACCTGCTGACATGTGCACGCATGTGCTCTTACATACATGTGCACTGTCACACAAGCTGTTCTGCTTGTGTATGTGTATACGATCTAATGCCCGCAGGCACTGTTCTCTCCTACATCTGTGCAGACCCACACAAAGGCTGTTTATCAGCCATTTGAAACGGAAAGGTACACAATTACGGTGTTAGTGGATAATGACCTTAACCAAAGGACTGGCTGTAATTTACTGAATGACCATGGGCTATCACTGCACAGACCCACAGCTGGATTTCGTGAATATCAGTTAGTAAGTGTAGGAACAATAACTCTGCACGTAGCCTTAACAAGTGGTATTTATGGAAATAGTGCCTCATGTGTACAAAACCTGTATGTGCAGGGACAGGATACACGTTTTGAAGCAGGGCAAGACCATGCATTCCTCTATTTCAGGAAGCCACATACTACAACTTGGATTGTTGCCTGCATTTGAAGAAAAGGCTCCCTTATTAAAAGTAGCCAAAAACTATGCCAAGCCTAGCTTCTACGTTCATGATCAGTCTTCATAACAGTCAGCTCCACAGAATGTTACGCTTTCTTTTAATGTTGTGTTATCGTACTGGTCAATGCTGGTGGACTCTCCAAGTGGTCACCTTTTCCGTCTTGTTGGATCAGCCAGCGATTCCACAAGAAAATGCCATGCACATCTCATTGAAATCAGTGGAAGATGCTGCTTTGAAATCTGAACCATTATGTACCTGTTGTGTACTTGTGTTTAGGTGCCACCTGACAGGTACAGTATGGGAAAAATAAGTGCTAGGCACTCAAATGTTCTAGGTCCGCTTGGACCATTTCAGATGTATATATTGGTGTAATTCCTTGATAGTGACCAGGCAATGGTGATTTACAGTATGGGATAACTTAACTCCCAGATCTCCAGTTCTGAAAGATTTTGGTGACTGTCTATTTTGAGAATGCTGAAATGTGACTCACCACCTCAGTCATACGTTTGCTATAAAGGATGAGAACATTGGAGCTCAGCCCAAAGTGGGCAGCATCAAGTACGGTCATTGTTGTTTCCCTGCTGTGCTGGATTGTTCTCGAATATAAATCCTGTCCTATGTCTGACAAGCCAGATGTTTACTTGTTGTCTGTTGTACTCATGTTGTTTGTTTACTGTTTGTTTTTTGGTTTTTTTTGTATGTACCGTTATACCATGTATGGTCCCAGTCCTGCAGTCTGATCCTGTAGGCATGTAGTGCCTCCCTACAGGGATGCGGGACGTTCCACACAGCGTTACAGGGCTGGAGGGAGATCAGTGTTGTCGCTGAGTGTGATTTTTTTGTAAGTCAGCACTGACACTTACTACTGACCCAATCCAGCTGTTAGTGAGAGATTTCCTCTAAAACAGACCTTTCATAAGCAGATCCAACACCTTGAGCGAGGACTGGAAGCTGTGAGATGCATCACATCTCTTGCAAACTGGGGAGTTTGGCTGGAGTTGGCAGTTGTCGGTTCCTCATATCTTTCTATTTCATTTTTTTGTCCTTAAAGCAAAGGAGGTTAAACTGGTTAAGAAATTAAGGCCAGAAGCCAATAGCTAGAAATACAGATTCTTTTCACAGCTATGGGCGAATCATATTTATCCTTCTGTGGCCTGGATTTTCTGTCTATAAACTGAGGGATAATAGTACTTAGCTTTGTAAAGCACTTTGCTCTCCTGGGGTGAAAACAGCAAAACAAGTGTGAAGTATTGTGATTTGTTACCTCCAATTGAAATACTTACACTGCTTTTCTGTTGGTTTGGTGTTTCTTCAAATGTTCAGGGAAAATCATAGTGAAATTGAGAGACGCAGGAGAAATAAGATGACCCAGTACATCACCGAACTGTCTGATATGGTACCCACTTGTAGCGCGTTGGCTCGTAAACCTGACAAGCTGACAATTCTTCGGATGGCTGTTTCACACATGAAGTCAATGAGGGGCACTGGAAACAAATCTACTGATGGAGCTTACAAGCCATCATTCCTTACGGAGCAGGTAGACTTTTTTCAAATGTCTGTTTTGTCTGGTTTGTGGTCTCAAATGATGTGAGGAAGTGCTGAGAGGAGTAGAGTCTTGGCTTGATCCTTTGCAGTTGTGTAGTAACTGGTACAAGCTACATATCCAAGAAGTGAATACGGATCTTAACTGTGTGACACATCCCTCTCTGAAGCAGCGGAATTGGTGTTTTTATCATGGAGATCTGTCCATCTGAAAAGCCAGTCACTTGCTGTCTCTCGTCATTGGAAAGGAGTTTTCACTGCCAGAACTGGGTTCTTCTCGTTCTAACAAAGATTCTCTAAAATAGGTAACAATTAGTCTGGAAAGACCTGCCTCTCCCTCCTGGATTTAGAGGAAGGTTAAAAACATTGTTTGGTTGTAATGCCTAAGTTCCCAGCAGCTGAACTGGGCAGAGATGAATCCCATCTATACTGGCTGAGGGGCTTCCTGGGTTATATTTTTTGATGGAAGAAGGAAGATGCATCCAGTGCTGGAAGGAAGACTGTGTTTAACTGAGTGCGCTGGAAATTCCTACCACCTTCATTGTTTTTGAAGTCCTATGGGTGTAATGTGCATTTTTGTGGTCTGAACGATTTAAGCACTTACACATGTAAGTTACGGCTAGAGGCGATGCTTCTTTCTAGTAGAGAAAAAACCCCTGCCACTGACCCCTCAGTGTTCACGTCTCTACTTACTCTGGCTTTCCTGAGGGGTGTTTCTGGAGGGACTGTGCCATTCAGCTGGTCATTTGTAGGGCACCCTCGTCACTTCTCATTATAACTTTAGGGTTTTTCTGAACCTTGCAGAATGACAGAGTTTATCTTCATCTTTGTTAATAATGTATGCAAAACAGGTCTCATTATGTTCTGTATAGTGCAGCTAGCTATGCAGTGGGGTTATTTATTTAGTAAGTGGTTCAGAATTAATGTGCTTTCTCTACATTAAAGAAGCTGGTGGTCTGTAAAGTGTTTCTTGAGATGAGTTATCCATTTTTTTAGTAGGATTTACCAGCTTGTGATCCTCACCTCATCAGCTGATATCTGCCACTTGCACACTAGCCGTGCTGAGCTGTCTAACCTGGAATGGGCCTCAGATTGTCCAAAGCTCTCTGTCTGAGTTCCAGATGCAGGATCTTAGCAAGCTCTGGTGGTCACTGGAGCCGCCAAGCAAAGGCCATTCGAGCTTGTTTCCCAGAAATTGGAGTGGCAGTTGTCATCCTTTCCCATGAGAGGTTTTTGAGCTCTTGCTAAGCAAAGTCTGTGTCATGCGTGCAAACAGCTGCTTGCCTGTGCAGTTCAAGGTATTGGGAGCCTAGACCCAGTGTCCGAAAGCGAGGGACAGGAACACCTTGCTTTAAAGGCCGGCGGTCCCCCCTCCAGTCCCAGGTGGGCTTGGGGCTCAGGATGCTGCCTCTCAGGTGGATGTGTGGCTGTCTCAGGACAGAAGCACCCAGGATGACGAGCAGGGCACCATGTAAAGAAAAGGCCAAAGACAGGGGTGTTCCAGACCCTTTGGATCTCTGTGGCTTCATATTCAAAGGCTGAAAAAGGGAAGCAAGAAGTGATACAACCTTCTTGTGTAGTGACTCGGGCCCCTTGATGGAGGGGAGGCTGAGGATGCCTGTCCTTGCTCCCGTTGCGCTTTCTGCCTTTTAGCCAATGACTGTTTAATTTACAAACAGAGCTCATCCGGAGGGGAAAAAATAACCCCAAACACCAAACCAGAAAGACTTGTTGGTTTCTTTCCAGTTGAATTCTCCAGAACATTTAATTAAGGAATGAGTTTGCCATATGAGTTATAGCTGTTCATTTCCTCTGTATGTACTCCGAAATAACCTTTTTTTTTAATGTTAGATGCCTATCACACAATATGCAGTATGTTTTAGTTACTTAATTTTCCTAAAGTGCATTGAGATCACCAGATGAAAGGCAATAAAGGAAATCAAAGTGTTGTTTTTTTATTACGATCAGCAATTTATGGCTTGCTGAAAGTTTGGTTGTGTTGTTACATCAATACTACAGTGAAATTTTCGGCCTAGGTTGCGATCAGCTACAAAGATCACAAGAAAACAATATTCTTTGGCAGTGACAGATATGTTATTTAATTCCCTTTTCTTGCTGACATTCTAATCAAATCCTTTCTTTGGAAGGAACTGAAACATCTTATCCTGGAGGCTGCAGATGGGTTCCTGTTTGTAGTTGCAGCTGAGACGGGAAGAGTGATCTACGTATCAGATTCTGTGACTCCTGTGCTGAACCAGCCACAGTCGGAATGGTTTGGCAGCACTTTGTACGAACAGGTTCATCCAGACGACGTGGAAAAGCTGCGAGAGCAACTATGTACATCTGAAAACTCTATGACAGGTCAGATATGTCTGGTTCTGTGTGTTATGGATCCCTGCAGAGTTTTTCTGACGTTCAAAATGCCTGGTCTAAAAATCTGATAAAAATGAAATGCAGCAAGATTAAACTGCATTTGCTTGCAGGCAGTACAGTAATATAAATCTTATTTTGCATGATTACATTTTGTCTCCTATTTGTTTGACTTCAGTCAAACCATCTTCATGTAGTTCTGCATTCAAACTTCTAGCTTGGTTTGGAATCTGGATTGTTTTTGGGCTTGGTCTGGAAATCTAGATTGTTTTCATTTCATCCTCAATGAACTTGTGACTTTACAAATATGTGTTTCTTTAGGGCAGTGTTTATTTTGAAGGCAAGAATCATACTTTAGACTTTTCCATTTTCATAAAAGTTCTGTGCGGTTTGTTAACGGGAATCCTGGGGAAAAAAATCCAGTGTTTGGCAGCTGAAAATCCAGTGGATTTTGAACAGGAGGCTTGCTCCTGTAGCAGTGGTGTAAGATAGCTGTAAGTTGACTACCTACCATTTTCCACATAAAACTAAACCATATTAATATCTTCAGTATAACTCTGGCTTTTACAGTTGTTCATGCTCAAGACTGCCAGTAGGAAACTGCCCTTGTCTCTAGTAGGATACGTGTGTGTTTGAGCTATGAGAATTAGCTAAATCCGGTTTTAACTCAAACTTGGAAAGGAGGAAACCCAACTTCTCTTTTTATTCTTCCACATAGTATGTTTATAGCTAAAGGAAAAAAGCTAGGGCAAAATATTTTAGCAAAATCCTGATCCATGCAAAAGTCACGTAATTTCTCCTTGCTTTAGTAATTCAGAATTCTGACCTGGTTTGCTGGAAGTTCTGTTGTGTTTCATAACTCAAAGGACAGTGATCCAGTTTTGAGTGAACCTGCGCACTGTTTACAGCTTCCATGTCAAAACAGTGCCAAATTCATGATTTCCTGTGGTTTTAATGTGATGTGGTTTTGGCAGAGCTTTCGTGTATTCAAATTGGAAACTCAAAGCAAAAGTGTGTGGTGAAAATCCAGATGGATCGAAACCAAGTGAACAGTTAGGGGAACCTGTACAGAGCAAAACAGCTGAGTTTCACACCACGAGACCTGGAAAAGAGCACAACCTCTGTTTTTATTATGTAGCATGTAATGCATTTTAACGTACGTACCATCTTCCTCCAAGAAACAAATACTCCAGAGCCTCAGTGAACAGTCATGTTTTGACTTCCAAAGTGCTCAGCTGTGGGGCTTAACCTGCTCAAACTAGAGCAGGACTAGACAAACGCAGAGCACTTCTGAAAAACCAACTCTTTTCTTTTTTTTCTTCCGGCTTTAACTATGTGCTTTTCTTTCACACTGAATGCATCTGTAGCCAGTGGAAAGAGAAGTTCAAATAATAGTATTTATAGGGCTGAATCTCTTCCCCGCCTGACTCTTCTGGAGTTGTCAGGTTGACACAGAAGGCCTGTAAATCTGCTGTACAAGAACAGTTGAACATTTTCGCAGTGTGAGGAAAACATCAGCCTGTTTAGAGCCAGGGTAGCCTGCTTAGCTACACCCCTTAAGGTGCAGAGGCAGGCTGGATGTAGAGGGGTGCTTTTTAGGGGCTGGAGAGTGTGTGTAGTTACAACTGTTCCAAGCAAGTGCAAGTAAGAACAGTGCATAATTGGTCCTAACTATATGGGGCACATTGTGCGAGTTTTCCTTTTCAAAGTTACTGTGCTTACATGTACAGTGCAGTTTTTTGGGCAGCTGAACATCTCGCGAGGCATAAACACAATCATCAGTCTGCTTCTGAATCGTTGTATGTACATCATCTCTTGTAAGATCATCACAGCACAGATTTTTAACCTATCTGCTGCATTTTTCTAGCCTTTTAAGAAAATTAGCATAAAGCAACTGACATCATAATATAATCCTGCTCTTTGAGTAGTTTTGTTTTAAAGATGTGACTGGTGAAGTACATTTAGTTAGGATACTAGTAGTTTTGTCAGTCTGTGGAGCATATAGATAAACACAAAACTCTAGATTTGTTGTATTAAGCTTGCATTTCCTTGACTCTCTACGGTACCGTTAGAGGAGCAGTCCTCTATAAGGACTGTCAGTCCAGCATCTATTTGCTGATAAACAGCATGCAGCAGGACTTTAACAGCATCACCCTCGCTCCTTGGAGGTACCTTTCTGGGAGCAAGGTGGTTATAGAGTCCGTCCAACCACTTACACTTTCCTTCCTGTAACACAAACCATATTGAGAGTAGCAGCTTTGTAACAGGTAGGAGCAAAATGAAATATTGCAGTGAACAGAAAGAACGGGTACCTTAGTGACATTTTAAAAGAAGTCCAGCGGACAAATGCACTTCCTTTAAGTCAATGTTTATCGAACCATTTGGGCAGCCCCCAATTCTCTCTTGGCTTTCCAAAGTTATGTTTAATGCAGAACAAAGGGCAAAGCAGAGCTTGAAAGAGATGCAAACCGCAAGCCAGCCAGCTGTGTTTGACATTTTTCCTGCTCAAAGTGAAGTTCACTGCAAGCAGCAGGAAAATCCTCATCTTTCAGTGACCTCTGGCTGTCGAGCACAGGATCTGCTTAGGGAAGAGATTTACAGATGAAAATGTAATGATATGTTAAGATTTTTAATTTTGCTCTCTTCCTCATCTTCTCAGGGTCTGTTTTCTCAACCCTATAACCTTCTCCTTTAGCCCTTGAGCTGGGGAAGCAATGACAACATCTTGACAAAGGAGAAGCTTCACTTGCCTTGCATCAGATCAGAGCAATGTCCTTTGGTTACATTGTTTGTCCTGTTACAAGCGCTGATCATTAGCGCTGCATTGCTGGGGTTTTCCCAGCACCTCTGAGCAATCCTGCTACCCAGAGAAGCTGCTCCAGACCCCGAGGACTTGGGAGGCTGCTGCTGCCAAAGGGCAGCGACAGAGAATACGCCAGTGGAGAAAGCAGGCTCCCTCTCACATTTCTGCCTCAGGAATAAGGCTGGGACTGGGGCTGTGGTTGCATGAGCATTTCTTTGGCAGTCACACCAGCTTATGCAATCGTCACCTCATCTCACCCTCTCCTCCTTTGGCATTTATGTGGTACTACAATGAGTCACATTAAGGGGGCGGGCCCAGCCGAAAGCTAAGCTAGGCAGAAAAAAACCCCTTAGTTTTGGTAGAGGCAGCTCTTTGACCCATCTTACCATAGTGTTGCTTGAACTCTTGTGCTACCACCAAGGAGAAGCAAGGAGTGAACAGTTAAGGGTAAGGGGAGGACAGGACTTCAGGAGCGGTAAAACCATATGCCAGGTCGAAGTGGCTGTTTAACTCTGGCTGTAGTGTACTTGGGGAGTTAATGGCTTGCTCTATTTTTAACTCTCAGGATATGGAGAAAGATGGATAGTTTCTACTCCATTTTATATCCTTGGAGATTTTATTCCCTGGAAATGGAACAATTGTCTTCTTGTTTATTGTACATTAATTGCTAACACATTGTAGCAACAGGAAAGCTGAACAACGAAGTATATGTGTAGTTTGAAATGCTCTAGAAAAGACAGCAGCTAAGACTTTGATAGCAACAGATAGTGCTCCCAAGAAGTCTTTACATGCGTCATGGGCATGATTAATCAGATTGGGGCAGATATTCAGAGTAATAATTTATTTTCCCTGTTTGTTCTTGGAAATCTGCAGATGAGAAAACAAATCACTTCAAATACGACTGACGATCAGATCCCACAGCAGGATCCATTTGCAAAGACCTCTTTGCCCTTAGGATGCACTGATGAAACTTGATGGATATTGGGTTATTACATATAGCTAAGGCAAGGCAGAGAGCAGCATATGTAATTCCATCTGTGACACAAAGCCTCCTCAGGACGTTCAGGTTCAGAAGGAGTCCTTGAGAACTCTTTTAGTTGAGCAGTTAAGGGGTGCTGAAACTGCGGACCTGTGACAGCAAGAAAAAGATGAGAACCAGAACCTCTACAGCTTTAATTTTCAAGAGATTTTAAAATGATTAAGTCAATTTACTTGATAGCTGAAAAAGATTAATTGAGGTTACTTCTGGACAGAGCTTGTATGCCAAGTTTAATCTTGGCATGATATTTTATTGTCATATTTTATAAGTACAAAAAAGTAGAACTTTGATGGAAATGATGACTGACCACAGCAAAAGTTGAGCTGATAGGTACATTTTTAGAAGAAAAGACCAGTGTGTGACAATTTGCTGTGGTTCATGAATATTACGGAAACATTACTCTGTGTTATACAAGCAGGGATTTGGATTGGGGAACCTGTCTTTTGGAACCTTCAAATAATATGTTATCTTGCAGTGATGATTTCAGCATATGCAGTTTTCGGTCTGACTGCAAAGCTTTCTGTTACCAAGCACAGTTTGTAGACACAGCCACAAAATCCAGATGCTGTAGATAAGGCCAATTGTCTGTAAAAATGAGAAAAATAGTGTTCAACTCAAAAGAGGGCAGTGCCAGAGACCAGTGGAGAAGCGAAGTAAAGCTTTCCATGGCACTGAACAGATGGGAAGTGCTCAGGAAATGGTAAATAACCACGTGAAAGAGATTAGGAATAACTTCCCTCTGCAACCGATACTCTTCCTGAAAATCCAGCTTTTTCTAGTGTGACCTGTCTTAGACTACCATGTCTGTTTTGCAGCTCTGATTTCTGCATGATCTTTCCTGGAAGAAAGGGAATTCTTCTCATACAGATAGCCAGCCAGTGAATGCAAATGTGACTCTCTTTCATGATCACTGTTTTGAATTCTGACTTCAGTGAATGGTTTAGGAGAGACTCCAACTGATACGGAGAAGAGCTGGATGAGAGTCCTGTTTGGCTTCACGCGCAAAATTCTCCGAAGAAATTCAGAGAATAGCTTGAGGCATGACCAGAAACTCAGCCCTGGCAAATATGATTCTGTTATGCCTTAAATGTCATCACAGTAACTGTAAAACTCATGTCTAATGAAAAAGTAAAATATTATCAAAGCATT